TCACCTGACGGAGCTCGGAGTGCGTAGTAGCATCGTCTGACCCAACCTTCATCAGGGAGGTCAGTTCTTCCGCAGCCAGTGAACATGAAGTCCCCTGATCTGAGTAAAGGCTTTCAGACCGAACTCCTGGGGAACCAGAGACGTTGCGAGTGAATGGTCGGTGGCAGACCGCGCAGGAAGCTGGGGAGGGCGGAAGATTTAGAAACGACCGTTAGCGGAGTGACTTCAGGCAAGTAAAATGTTCCCTGGCGAAAAATTTATTTGAAGACATCCAAAACACTGAGCACGTTAAAATCGGTCAATTATTCTGTACAAGCGAGGTGCCGACGCAAGAGATATTTCTCAAGGCAGTCCTGGGGATAAACGAGGTCATGTGTTACCATTGAGCCACGGGCCCGTTGTCCTGTCGGTTGTAATCGGGAATATCAATTATGACAGTGGGCGCCCGCCGATCAGGTTACGGAACATGCTCGTTCCGTTGTGCCTTGGGGCTCACACTTAAACCCTCGCAGGCAGTCGCACAGCGACTAGTAATAGACATAGATGAGATGGGGCCGACAAAGACAAGGGAGACCGGAATGGCCATTTCTGGCTTATTAGCCGTCATCAGCCAGTCATACCCAACCCCAAGTGTGGATCACTTGAGATTCGAACCCGGGATCTTTGGTCATGGAGTTTGACGCTCTACCATTGAGCCACGGGCCCGTTGTCCTGTCGGTTGTGATCGGGAATATCAATTAGGACTAAGTAAAGACCAGCTAACGACTACGAAGAAGCAATAAATGGGCATGACAGTCTCTCTAGTCTTCGTCGATAAACTTCTAGAAGGAATGTTTTAAAACAGAGGCATGGGATGAGTGGTTTTTTGGCCGTCCGCATAAACATGAGTTCGCAATGGTCAACTCACCTGGGGAACGGCTAGGAGAGATGGGTGAGCAGTCACGCTCGCGAAGGCAACGGATTCTCGTTCTTGACTTGAGCAACCCAATGAGTCGCGCTGAAGTAGGGTCGACTGACTTGTGCTAGGAACCTAGTAGAATAAGAAGAGATCAGATGATCGCATAACAAAGTCCATAAATAAGCCATGAGCATGGCGTCTCCGGGGTCACAGTAACGGAGGTAACGCCGGTCAATTTTTCGATTAAAGCAGGAAAAGCGGGTTCGAGGAAGGAGAGGGGGTGGGGTGGATGTGCGCGACCACCAGTTTCTCTAGTCCCATTGGAGTGCTGCCAACAACCTAACAACAGTGCTGTTAAAATTGATGTGTGGACTTCCTAAAGCACATATTTCGGATAGAGATGATCCATTGGGAGAAAAGAGTCACTAGGAATATTTTACAGAGCAATAGAACTGCCTCCGTGTGGAGGTATGACAATTCACGTAGGGCACATTCCCTTACTGCGAACACGGGCCAAAAGTCAGTCAACCCGGCGACTCCACGACTAGCAGAGGTCTAACAAAAAGGTAGTCGCGGGTCGATACCAGACACAGGCCATTTTCCACGAGTCAAACGAACGGGTCAAACTTTGCATTCTAACAGAATTGAAAGATGGCCGAATATCGCATGAACTTGCCCTTGTCTTTGAATACCTCATATTTCCGAGTTGACGAGGTGACACATAGGAATTGTGATGCACTAGAAGGGAATCGATAAAAAAACAGGGCACCTGCTGTTTAAGTATTTTCGCAAAAAGTGGTTTGAGACTCTTCATGTTTTGCTTGCTGTGTGCGCCGAGATAGCCAGGTCGAACATACGGAAAGGAACGAGAATTTGTACCCGGCTGAAGAGATTTCTCTACTGGATGTGAATGTCGCAAATTGAAAGAAGAGACAGACAACAAGTCCTTTTTTGAAATCGAGTAGAAGTGAGCTTTGCAGCTGAGCTGCCTTGAACTGCAAATTTCACATGCTGATATTAGGATAACTGTCTCCTTCCGGAATTCATTTTTTTGTCACGCACGCGAACATACAATTCTGATATTTCATGGCCTCTGACCCTGTGAGTGCTCGTTTGAGCTTGGCAGCTCTTCGGAGAGTGAAGTAAGCCCCCGTCAGACGATGAAACCTTTCAAGGTGGCTCTTAGAGGTCTCAAAGCTGTTGAACTTTTTGTTTAAAAAGTGGGCCGTAAAGAGCTTCTCGTGGTTAGTCCCTGAATCTACCCCAGGCCTCTAACCTCCCCTTGCGAATGTCAGGTCGCGTTAATGTCGATGCACCATTTCGAATTTTGAAATATTCAGAAAATCCCCTTTGAAAGACACCCGGAAATTTGAGGGACAGTTGGGAACCGAACACGTCTTCCGTAAGGACTGATAGATCATTGTTGCCCGCCCGGGAGTGCCTTCTTTCCGCAAAGCGCCCCTCTGGATTTTGTGCGTCACACTGTGTTTCTAAGGTGATCCTGTCTGAGGCGGGTCCCAAAAACTTACAATTTCGAAATGTTTGAGGGCGCACTCAAATTCAGCAAAGCCTCCATATTTCGTAAAGCCAGCTTCCTCCCCAAATACACCAGAGAGGTCGATCACATCGAAACCACAATCCATAAACTGGTCGGTCGAAGATTGTCGGTTTGAGTAACCAGGCGCATGTAGGACAATAAACTCGATCAGTAGTTCACACCATAAAGACAATCTAACAATCATTGTTTAAAATTAGTAGTAGGATGATGGTGAAGGGCGAAAAACGGGAATGGAGTCCTGATGGAGTTAATTACAGTTCAACCCTACTAAAGGTCTGCGTTCGTGCATTGGTAGGGAGGAGGCATTCAACATAAGAATAAGGGGACTCTGAGATTGAGCCGGAAAAGGTCAGCAGAACTTCAAAGTTTGAAAACCAGATCTTAGGTGATATCAAATACTTTACAAAATATGGGCTAGAAGGCCCATACGTTTCAGTTAAGAGCCCAAGCTTTTGGATGTTCTGGTTAACAAAAGTACGACTAACGTTGACTGCTGAACAATATGTGAGCAAGTAGACGGTTTTACCAACAGCGTATCTCATAAAATGCGCTCATTTCCAGGTGCCTGCAACAACCACACTCAGAAAAAATTGACTGCTTGGACAATGTCACTTTTTCCTCGATTTCTGGTGTTTTATAAATTCAAATATATTTTATAGGAAACGTTCACATAAAAATATGTTTTCGTGTACTGACTTGGTAGTAAATCACGAAGTCCTCAGACTACCTGCTCGACGAAAATATATCTGTTAATTTAAACAAATCCTTCTAAGTGTCAAAATACACCCTAGTAGCGCACGGATATCGAGTCGATATACGTAAATGACGAATTTTCGAAATATGAATCTCTGCGCGTCATTGGTTGCATGGTAAATGGTCGCCTTTCCTTGGGCGCGCAAGCGTCGTTATCTTCCGTTGACGGTGTGACGTACGTGACGTTACTGCGCTCGAGTGACATTGTTGTTTTTCACTGACACCTGCAAACCGTTTGTTAATAATGCGTACCCAGGAGTCGGGTAGCACACGTAGACGTCGTATAAGGCGATATGAGGACGATGAACGTCGTGAAATTGAAGAAATTGTTCCGAAAAGACACAGATCTGAACAGACTTTGTTGTATGCTGCACCTATATACAGTTCCTTAGAAGACTCTCGAGAATCTGAACGGTAAACACTGCTTACCACGAATCCAACGAAATTCCTGCAAACAGATGTTGCAGAAGAAACGGCAAGTGGAAGTAGTCGCTCTTTTCAGGCAGATAATATAACGATTGAGAAGTTGCGAGACTGGGCTCTTAGAGGTAACATAGCGCCCATTGTGCCCGAACTGTCCGTCGAGGCTTTTGGGAGTATCGTATAGCCTGCAGGTAACCCCCATGTGTAGTGGGGAGTACGTGCATGTAGGCTTGGTAGGGCGAAATCGTAGACTAGTACATGGGAATACTGTCCTCGTAGCAGATAATCTGACTGATAACTCGGCTATTGACGGTCTTCCGGTTTATGGAAAATCAAGGACCGGAATTTTGCCTATTTAAGGAAGAGTGGTGCAGCCCTTTTTCAGTGACGTATTCCCCGTAAGTATTTATTGCGGAAACGGCAAGGCGTCTGACGCGAACGCCTTCTGTAAAGCAGTTGTGCAGGAACACGGAATCCGTTTAGATCAACGCAACCGGTCAATTGGCATCCATGCTGCAGCCGTAATCTGTGATGCCCCCGCTAGGGCCATTGTTAAACAAATTAAGAACGTCAATGCTTATCGTGGCTGCGAACATTGCGCAGTGACAGGAGTACATAAAGGGAAAGATGTTTAAGTAGAGGATGGGCAAAGGATGAAGACTTTACTCAGTCAATAGACGACGAGCACAGAGTTGGTATCTCTGAATTTCTATTTTGTAATCTTAAATTAATTTCCCAATTTCCTCTTGAGCCACAACATCTCGCGTATCTAGGCGTTGTAAAGAAGCTGCTAAGTTTATGGGTTGGCAGTCATCGGTCGGAAGCGACCGGCAGCAGGACGCCATCTGTTCTCAAGTCAGCTGATTTTGAGACAATAGACGAGGAAATTCGCCTACTGAACATTTACCTTCCTACAGAATTTTCTCAGCGAGGAAGGAGTCTAAGTTACTTTGAGTCGTGGAAAGCGACAGAGTTCCGACAGTTTTTACTGTATGTGGGCGTTGTTGTTCTCCGTGGAATTCTGCCTAAAGACTAAAGACTTTACCTGCTGCTCTTCACAAGTCTTTGACTTCTAGCTAGCTCTGACACCTTTAGTAAAAATACTGGCTACTGTAGGTAGTTGTTAAGATTGTTAATCACTCGAAAATTCTCTGTCTTATACTGTGAGCAGCACACAGTCTACAGTGTGCATAGTATTATGTACATTGCCGATGATGGTTAGCATCACAGGACGCTTAACACTTTTTTATCTTTCCCATTTGAAATTTATCTAGGCAGACTAAAGAAACTGTTGAGAAGTCCTTCAAGATCTCTCCAGCAGACCGCTAGACGCCTCAGTGAGTTGAAAGTAGGTGACATCAAAAGGTTCATCAGGACGGCTGCTTCATAGGCACAACTCTTGGCCACTTCTAGCAGAAAACGAAAGTTGCGAACAATACCAATGCGTTGCCACCTGCAGCTATCGAGTTGACATGACACGGGATAATCGGTGCACTGACTTCGGCAATGAGATGGTTTGTGTCACGAACGTGCTCTTTGATAAAAGGGGAGTATGTTCACGTAGTTCTCAGCAAATTTATTAACACATATGACTGCTTTTATTATCCAAAGAAGTCATCTCTATTAAAGGTATATAAAACTACTGTCGATAATACACTTTATTGCTTACTTTTGCCAGCTAGCTTCAGCAAGTTCGTTTGCTTTCTGGTGGAGAATGAATACATTTTAATAGAAATTATTGATCCCTATCAGGCCAACCATGCTTACTTTTAAGCTGCTTACTGTCCTTTCGCTTTGGCGAACTGTGCACTGAAAGCCTACAAACGCACAGTCTTCACAATTAGTGGTTAAAGAGCACTGAAGGGAGAAAGTGGCAATAGTGATAGAAGAACCCTTGAACCAAATCAAACTTCGTCTTCATTCTTTTCTGTGCGTTTGTAGATATCGTCATGAGCAGTGTACTGACTTACAAACAGCCGACAAAAAATGACGATCACCGCTCGATGCGGTCACAATGCCACCAGTATGTCACACTAAGTTATGTTTTTCTAAGTTTCAGGAACATAATGCTCGAGCTGAAGATTTGAAGCAATCTTATGAGACATTACCGGAAGGCGATCAGTCTGCCATTGATGGTAAGACCTCGCACAATTCACACTTCTCCTACAGAACAATCGGAGCCTCCTATTTACGACCAACTCCGGAATATTAGGCGTACAATGCGTCTCATGTGCCAACATATGCACTTTATGTCAACAAGGTTGGGGTACGTGGCCGAACCCCAAGGACGCATACTCGGGCGACTCAGACAACTGGAGAGATCAATTATTCAGCAGCCCCTCACATCTAAGGTAGACCGTCAGCTGCCAAGAAATCCCATCGGTCAGCCCGTACGTTCTGCGGCCGATTTCGGCAGCTAAACGCACGATTACTGAATAACGACTTTAGACATGGGATGATGGGTATCCGGTTTAGTCAGTACACATTAGACCTCCTATCTTGAATGCCTCGGCGGTATATATCTCAACGACTTTGTCAAGAGACTGTTGTAGGCCATTTTCGACGACGACATAAGCACTTATGTCAACTTTAAAGGACGAAAACTAAAGGATAGCCTCTCCCGGTCAAAGATATATGAGGTTATAACCGGTAAGCATGTATAACGAATTCCACTTCAATAAAAACGAGACTAACGCATTGCGACAACTTTTCAACCCTAATTTGTAACCGCAGCCCGAATTTCAGCCTAATTAAAGTTTACTCCTTATTCTGCACCGTTCGTGTTTTGTGAAAATTGTTTTGAAATATTATCAGTTGACTCTTTCGCTAACAACCCCTCGAACTCTCACAGATTCCAAAAAATGTGAATGCCAGTACCATCTCTTGGGTTCGCTCTTGGCCCCGGTCAGCACGTTGCTCAATCTAAGACCAGAAACGCCTTCAAGGCAGGAATGCGTTGTGTGTATTGGGCTTGATTTGCATTCTCGAATTCATTTTCTGGGTGATCCTGTCCACAGATTTCGAACACCATCTTTGGCTAGGTTGCGCCACAATTGGACTTGCTTTATCGGATTTTCGCTACATACACCTCAACATTGGCTGGTCGAACTTCTTTCGAACAATCATGACTCAATGTCTCGTTTTACACGTACACGGCTTATGGATGTTGTTTTTTTGTTTTTTACCTTTGTTCTGGTATTTCATACATTTTTTGCCATTGTGCTTTACACTCTCCCTAAAGAGGAAGCATTGCATTGCTTGTGTGACTGTCTAGGATCTATAACGTTGAAACTCTAAAGACTTGTGCGTTAGTAAGAGCTTTCTGCACCTGTCCCCTTAAGCGATAGTGGCTCACAAATTAAAGAGGGTTATATCCTGCCCTTCAATCGGAAAATATTGTTCCACGTCTGTGCGTCTAACGAGATCACCAGTACCCGTGTTAGTGGATTTACTTAAATACTCCCCTACGTATGCAAACTCATCAAATTTCTGCTGCTACTGGTCTTTTAGGTGCTTGTAGGTCTGCGGTCGCAGTAAAGGCTGTCATGCACATTTGCTTTCGCGATTTCCGATTTTGAAGATCTCTTATCGTGAGTTACTAAATTCCGACGGACGCACTTCCAGAGGAGAAATCAGAAATTTCTGGCGTGATATCTGTTAAGGTATAATTTTTCCGGAGATCCACAAACTAAGATGAAGTCAACGATAACTGCGGTGTCAGCTGTCGGATCTAAAATATTCGTCCTGCAGCAGCTACAAAGACCACCTAGGACCGCCTAAATCAGTGCCATCATCTCCTCAAGACATTTTTTCGACCTAATGGTCACTGTAGATGAATTAGGTACTTTTTTAGGTGACCGGAGCAGTCTAATTCTACCGTCCGGAAGTAAGACCGCCATTTACGTAGCCAAATATATGCCTTAGAAGGAACAGAAAGGCTACGCTTGGCGTGTGCATTCTTGTAACTCGTCTTACGAGCGGTATTACGTACCACTCAAATTTTATGCGAGGATAGACGGGAGCGAGCCTACTCCGGCTTCACCGTTTATGACATTATCATCGGTAAATCAATATTCTCCGCGCAGACGATTTTAACGCATGGAATCCTGACCACAAGCTAGCCTTGCTTAAGAAAAGAATTGAAAACAGAGTGGAACCGCCAACATCAAACGGACCGTTGGCGAACTGGTCATTGCCCTTCTACTGGTCAGTTACTTATGCAACTACTCACCGCACCATGTTATTTTAGATTACTTTACGAAATTAACTGGTCTTGACGCCTCAAGCTGTCGATAAGTTACCTTTATCCATATCTGCTACCTTCTGAGATCCTTCCTTTCTGCCTTGCATTCCCAAACTTTATATTTCTTTATTGTTTGTTCTAAGTCAAGCTTACTTGTAATTCTGTAGATTTATTCGCATTCTGAACTCTTGGGTACTCGTGGTTTTTTTTACAAGTGATGGTATATCATGGTTCTCTAACGTCCCGCGCTCTCGATCTTTACTTGCTTCTGAAATAAATTGGTGGTGAATAACTGTATGGTAGAAAGTATTCGCAAGGCAACTCGAGAAAGTGTTATTTGGAAAGGGGGCGAAGAGAATTGTCAGATTTGTAAAATAAAACAGAACTGTACGTGAATGAAATGACCAGTAGTGAACTTTTCATTGCTAAAAGGAGACTGACCGCGCACAAAAGGTGCTATCATACGCCTATTCAATTCTATTCTAGTTCCTTACTAAAAAGGACTGCTTATTTTAACTGTCCCCTCGGAGTAAAGACCATCACAAGCCGCTCAAAGTAGATTAACTCAAATTTGCAGGCCCTTACATACAGAAATCGCTTTTGGAGGCGTTACGAAATAATCGGTTTCCAGTTTGTTAAAGTGAGGCAACAAGCTGCGATAGAAGCTCAAACTGAAAACACTGCAAAATTAGTTGGAACGCCACAAAATCATAAATTGCTGCATACGGAATAATAAAAGAATTAAGGAACTGATCCCTGCCCTTTGGTCTGCAGACTGAAAATTGGAGACTGATGACCAGATTAATGCATCCAGTCCGTCTTCAACCGAGGACCCAGTTCTTTATTTTCCCTCTTACTCATCGGCCAACCAATGTGTCCTCCAACTCCCTTTTCCCTTTTTTACCCCTCCCTATCCTCTCTATTTGAGGGACCGCACTTTTAATCGGTCATATTTAGGGCCGAATTACTCCGACTGAAGCCTAACGATTTGTCTGGTTCGGATCGAATTTCTGCACTAGCACTTTGAGAATTTGTTAATGAACGCATGAATGGAAGTGCGCATTTGTGGAAGTGTTTCTGAATGCAAAAAGACGAGTAATGGTTCGCTTAATAGTTCTGTTAAACAGAGGATAATTTTGCAGAGTTTTTAAGCTCATGGGTGATCTATTCCAAATTGCAAATGCATTCAGAGAAAAGAGCTGGCAATATTGAACGAAAAGTGCCAGAGAACAAAACGATAAGACCTCACGATGACTGTCACGCCAAGACGCCTTGAAATGGTGAGTGGGTTAAAGGAACGATTATATAAAAGTTTAAATAGTAAAAAATTGTTTGTTTTGTAATCTGTGAAACCAAAAAGGATCAAGCCTGTAAGCCGACAACGTTCTTTGTGCGGCCAATTCCAGTGTTCCGGGGTTAAAACACACTTGGTAAAAAAATTTAGACGGATTCTATTTTCTTCCCCTCAGTAGCACGCATGAGGCTAAATGAAAACGAACAGTATGCCAGACCAGGTCTAACGTACATGTTGTAAAGGCGCATTCTGATGTCCCTAGTTTTAAAGTTTCGGAGGAAAAACCCGGTCGTTCTGCGTGCTTTGGAGACTATCAAGGCACAGTGGTCCGAGAGATTGAGACTCTTGGAGTATGATATGCCCAGATCCTTAGTTACCCTGGGCACATTTATGGAGCGACCTTCAATATTTAGTTGAGGTTCGTGGCCGTCGCCAACCACCATGACTGAGCACTTATGCCAGGAAAGAGAAAGGCGCCATGTGCGGCACCACTGGGCGAAAGCCTGTAGATCGCTCTTTATGAGCTCAAGCACGATGCCATGATCTGCCGGCTTATATCGATATGCAACTTTAAGATCATCGGCATACATGAAAGGCTTACCATTCTGAAATAAATCGGGTACATCATTAACGAAAAGGCAAAATAAAAGCAGGCCGAGTACACTTCCCTGAATGACTCCACTCTTCACACGTGTGGGGTTGGAGATGGTATTGGAAATCTTAGCTAATTGTCTACGAGCGTTCAGATAAGAGTATATGAAATTCAGAAGTTTACCACCTATTCCGAAAGAGGAAAGTTTAAAGAGAAGAAGAGCATGGTCAATACGTTCAAAAGTCTTAGTGAAATCGAAATATACAATGTAAAGTGCAAAACCATTGTCCCTAGATTGGAGAACATAGTCAAAGAAAGAGAGCTGACAGGTGTCACAAGATCGAGCTTTGAGGACTCCATGCTGAGCAGCATTCAGTAAGTTATTCACTGTTAAGTGACACATCATCTTATCCTTGATCAATGTCTCTAAGATCTTCGAAACTGCGGGGAGGGTGTTTATTGGCCGAAAGTCATCAAATGATGTAGATTTGCCGTGCTTAGGAATGGGCAAAATGTGTGATTCCTTCCACAAGGTAGGATAGGTTTCAGTTTCAAGAGCAAGATTAAATATCTTGCATAAGAGGGATGGGAAGATCGTGTTTGCATCGGCCTTTAAAATGCTTACTGGGACACCATCAGGGCCTGGACTATAAGATTGACGAAAACGCCGAATCGCAACAGTCACATCCCACAGAGTGAAAGTTATAGTTTCTAGAACTGCCCCGGTCAATATTGTAAAACGAATATCGGGCAAATTGTTTTTAATCGGGTTCTCCAAAAATGCATATTGTCCCTAGATATACTCACCTATGCAGGACAGTCTCCAACGGCATCATCCGCTTAACGGGTTCAAGTCGATTTCGGATGAATCTACCTACGTCCGAACAGTGTCATCACGCCAAAGCTTGCGTTATTAGTTTGTAATATGCAAAACAAAAGACAGCGAATAATCCTACATTGTAACTGCATGGTTACGTTGGTCAAATGTAGGAATGAAGATGTCCTCGCCAGCGCTGTGTAAAGCTTTCGTGGTAAATAAATTCGGTTTTTGTCCAAGACGTGTTTTGGTTAGAAAAATTTTATGTTTTGTGAACAGCACCTTTAATGCCTTATACAGCTAACGGTAGTCGAAGTTTGTTTTCTGATATGACACATGAACTGTGCTCAAATGAATTATTGGCGTATCAAAGTCGTTCATAGTCGACTGGGTTAATTCTTCAATTGCTCCAATAGATGATCGTAAACGATTTGATCTGTTCTAGATGGTTGGTAGACAATAAGAGCATCGGGACACGGCGAGCCAGTAGGCTTGGTGCTCAACCCAATTGCTTCTTTGTTGCATGTAAACGTGTTCGCCTTTTTCGACTTCATCCGGACATCCTTCACATACAAAATTACGCCACCGCCTTGACCGTGTTCCCTATACCTTCGATATATTTGGTATTCAGTTTATGCTACTCATTTCTTACGTGTATTGCAAGACTCAGGTGTAGGATTGTCCAGTTGTCGCTCCACATAACGGTCGTAGTAGGTCGCCACTTATTTGCAAGGATTAACAACGCCTAGCGTCCATTACCTGGAACCCAACTCGCATGTGGCTACGTGAAACTAGGCTCTGCCCAGCGGCCACAACCCGGTAACCGACTCGATCGGGGGGCTAAACCAGGTGAGGGTATCCTTGTGTGCATCTCCGCGCACGATAACACGACTCCACTGGCCCGATGGACCACCGACTCAGCATCTTCGAGACAATACTCCGTCTCTAATACCACAGGAGGCCACAAGGTTAGTGAGCACCCAGGTAAACGAACATTGCTCTGCTGTCTATGCTGTGCTTGTTCTTGTTTGGACGCTTTCTGTCTGCTGGCTTGTATTTGTCCTTGTTGTAAGTTAAATGCCGTTCCGTTGGATTTCTTCTGTCTGCCCTTGTTTTTATTTTCCTTGTTTAATGCTTTTGTGTCTTTGTTTCTGTTTGTCACAGCTGTACACTAACAGACGTTCATCTGAACCTGTTTGCTCACAATTTGTATTTCAGCAACTAGTTCGATTAGAGAGGTAGGGGAAAGCTCTGCTTCCCACGTGTCTACCATTGCCCCACCACCTACCCCTTCAAGTCCTGCGGCGATGTCGTAGGGAAGCCCAGACTAACTCGGGTCGTTCTCCCACTAAACAAAAGTCGTGGCCCATAGTGGACTTCGGCAGCCGTCTGGGACAAATGAGCAGCCCTATTAGGGGGCAACACTGCTCACCGCCGCAAGGGGAAGGAACTAGAAAAAATGTCCCAAAGAAATGCTGATTATCCGCGCTGTCTGCGAGTGGACTGTGGCCGCATACAAAAAACACACGGTTGAAACAACCAAACCAGAAACAACAAATCCTCTCTCTCTCTCTTCCCCCTTCCTCTCCCCCCGCCCTACCGCGTAGGCTGGCAGGGTGAGTCCGCCCACTCTGGCGGCCTAGAATTTTCGTTTCCTTTTAGACAATCGAATAAGCAACCGACCGGAACAGAACACAGCACTAGTGGCTGGGGAACTTGCGCGCTACAAGGTAGACATGGCCACACTCAGCGAGACCCGGTTCTCCAAACAAGGCGTACTGGAGGAGGTTGGTGCCCGATACACCTTCTTCTGGAGCGGTCGTCCCAAGGCAGAGCAGCGAGACTCGGGTGTCGCACTTGCCATCCGGAACGACATCGTGGGCCGACTACCCTGTCTGCCGCAGGGCACTAGCGATCGCCTGATGAGCCTCCACCTGCCTCTCTGGGGAGGCAACTTCGCTATCATCGTCAGTATCTTCGCTCCCCGATGACCAGGCCTGACGCTGTAAGAAAAAATTCTATAGGTACCTGCACGCCCTCCTGGCGTCTCTGTCAAAGGGGGATAAGTCGATGGTCCTGGGTGACTCCAACGCCTTTGTCGACACAGACCGTTCTGTCTGGAGAAGAATGCTGGGTCGCCATAGTCTCAACGCCTCCAATGACAGTGGCCTGGTTCTCCTACCAACACTTTCTTCCGCCCTCCGATGCGAGAGAAGGTTACCTAAATGCACCCTCAGTCGCGACACTGCCACCTGCCGGACAAACTTTTGTCCGGAGGCGAAACCAGCGTGACATGTTGGCGAAAAAGGCCATCCTGGGTGCCGACGGGTGGACTGACCATCGTTTTATCATCTCCAAGGTGCAAAATTGCCTGCAGTCTCGCAGGAGGCCTCAAGGTAAGCGACCCCCTGCTAAGTTGAATATTGCATTGTTGTCTTTGCTTGCTCACCATATCCACTTTAACAATGAAATAGCTCAACGGCTGGTTCGATAACAACAACGCCGCAATCAGCAACCTGATCGTTGAGAAGAACCGAGTGCACAATTCCTACGTGAACCGCGCACAGGCGACAAGGCAGCCTTCTACTGTAGTCACCTCCTTCTACAACAAAGGCTGGGAGAGATGCAGGAGACCTGGATGGTTCGCAAGGCCAAGCAGATCCAAGAAAACGTCAATTTCAACGAATGGTAGAATTTCTTCCCCACGATCAAGGTTGTTTACGGTCCGCCAACCAAAGGCACCGCATCATTTTTTGAGCCCACGGCAGTTCCCTACTCAATGGAAAGACACAAATTCTACAGATTTGGGCCGAACACTTCAGAAGCGTCCCTAACCGTCCCTCCACCGTCTCCGACGCCGCCATCGCCCGTCTGTCTCAGGTGGAGACCAACGCCGACCCCGATCTCCCTCCCTCTCTCCACGAAGCCATCATGTTTGTGCAGTAACTTTTCAGCGGGAAAGTGCCCGAATCGGACGCAGTCCCTGCTGGAATCTAAAATTACAATGGCCACCAACTCATAGATCATCAGACGGAGTTCTTCCAGGACATGTGGTGTCCAGGAGAAGTCCTGAAGCATTTAAAGGATGCCACAATCATCCACCTCCATGTGCGCAAAAGGCAACCGCCAGCACTGGGAAGCCGTCGAGGCATCTCCTTGTTGAACAACACCGGGAAGATCTTCGCTCGCACTCTCCTCAACCGCCTGAATAGCCATCTGGAACAAGGTCTCCTGGCGGAACGTCAATGCGGCTTCCGCCGTCATCGTGGGACCGACAACATGACCTTCGCCGCCCGCCGACTTCAGGTGGAACTGCCAGAATTTGCAGACCCACTTGTACCCAACCTTCGTAGATCTGACGAAAGCCTTCGGCACGGTGAATAGTGAGGGAATGTGGAAAACCACGCAGAAATTCGGCTGCTTCGGACAATTCACTCATATGGTGCGTCAGCTCCACGATGGCATGGCGACAGGCGTAACGGACAATGGAGCCGTCTCAGAGGCATTCGCATTGACCAACTGAGTGGAGCAGGGCTGCATCCTCGCGCCTACCCCCTTCAGTCTCAGGTCCTCTGCCATGCTGATGAACGCCAACCGTGGTGAACGCCTTGGGACCTGTTTTTCCTACAGACCGGACGCACTTTGAGTTGCGTATATCCACTACTAACGTCCATGAACTTCTCTTCACCGACGACTGTGCCCTTAATGCAACTACTGAAGGAGACATGCAAATGTGCATAGATCTCTTCGCCGCCGTCTGCGACTACTTCGTTTCGGTCATAAACACGGAGACAACGGTGATTATGTATCGAACGCAACCCGACGCTGCCTTTTTCGCACCCCAAATCAACATGAAGGGCGTACAACTGCAAGCCGTAGACAACTTCACCTACTTGGGCAGCACTCTCTCCAGCACCACCAAGATCGACGATGAAGTGGCCCGCGGGATCTTCGAGGTCAGCCAAGCCTTCGGTCGCCTGCAAAGCACAGTCTGGAATCTCTCCGGTCTTCAGCTCAGCACCAGACTGAAGATGTACGCAGTTATTTCCAAAATGAATCGGGGTAGTGAGAGATCGGACTTTGTCCTAAAGACTCATGTGCAGAGTCTTCATATGTTTTTGGATGCCCTTCAAAATTTTTCAAACCCGTGATATCTACTTTCGCTGCACTCAATTTTTCGTCGCAAATAAGACACAAAAGACCCATGCTTATTTTCCAGTAATAAACTAAAATGATCTGAAAACAAGTGCAACCGTTTATAAATGTTACTGTACACTAAGGAGACCATCGAACCCCACTTCTGCCCCTCAGAATGCATCCGCGCACGTTTAATTTTTAGCTGAACGCATTTCTTCAATTCCTTTTTCGGGCTCCCGTCATTTAAGTACCTAATTTTCTCTGGCTAGGTTGACATGTTCCAAAACACAATTTACTTCTTCATCTGAGACTGGAGAAGATAGAAGTTTTTTAAGGTCATTTGTCCCGTGACAGTCACTCGTCTGGCAACTTATTCTGAACCGAAACTCGATAATGCCAGTCGTTGCCTTGACACTGATCCACTGTTTGTTAGATCGAATCGGCAACCTCTCCCGCGGATTCGTTTTCGTCTGCCCAAACTTCTTTTGCTCTTGCCAGTGATTTATGAACACCTTCCAGAGAATATTTTCATGCCGTTCTGTTTGTTCTTAGCTTTTCCTTTTCCTACAACTTTGCAAATCTCATCAATAGCAATATTTATGGACTCCCTTTGTTTAAACAACAGTACTGTCGCTGCACTAGTGCAGCGTAATTGCGTTCATGCACTCTCCGATCACAGTCATATTAAGCCTGGTTGCCATCCAAGGACTCAATTGGTTTATATCTAATATCCTTTGGAGCTTTGCGGAATATACTGTAATCGACTTAGTCTAGTGAGCAGATTTAGATTTTGAAGCACCGTACAAGTTGGTCATGGTACTTGTTTCCTGCGTCGGGCACTTAATTTTTGCCTGATTACGGTTTTCATAATCTTCGAAAATA